CTGATGATAATGAAGCTAAAAATAATAGAAATAATGATAGAACTAGCATCGAAAAGGATGACTATAATGCCTTTGAATACTATCAGCAATCTGCTGAAATAGGGAATGCCAATAAAGCATATTATGCTGGATTTTATTATAAAAAAAGGACAGAAGTTGAAAAAGATAACCGTCAAGCATTGGATGATGATAACGATAATAATGTTGATAACAATGATGATGGTAATAGTGATGATAATGATATGATCTGTGATGAAAATGATGATAGGACTGAAATCGAAAAGGATGAAAGCAAGGGAATTGGAATTGAAGAAGCTGAATGTAAAGCATTTGAATATTTTCAAGACACTGTTGAAAATAAGGACCCTTGTGTGCAAAACCACTGATGTTTTGCATTGAAAAACTTGGACAAAGTCTGTGAAGATTAGAATAGAAGGGTTAATAGTTTAAAAGATCGATCCAAGATGACCCAAAGGCAATGAAAAAACCTACCCTAGCCGCAGAAATTTGCCAACCTGAAGGACCTTCTATCCTAAAATCTAGGCTGAATCAAGTGATCAAAGTTAAATCTAGTAGAATAAAAGAAAAATCATGTGAATTAGAAAAACGAAAGTGGGACAAAAAGACAAGTAATCAAAGAAAGTCAGTTGAACCCACCCTTCAAGAAAAGCTACTATGGAAAGAACCTGAACCAATGCCACTAGGAAGAATGCCATCACCAGTAAAAGAGGCCAATGAAGTTGCAGAATGTGAGAAGACTAATGAAGTCGAAACAATGCCGATCAAACCTGAACCACCACCTGTAAAAGAAGCTAATGATGATGAAGAAAGAGAACCTAGAGATAAAATGCAGAAGAGAGAAGTTAGTAAAATGGATCAAAAACGAAGAGACAAAAGACAAAAGGAAAACCTATCTTCAGTCATCGATTCACGAAGTGACCCTGCCGCCGATGCATTAAGGCATGATAATTTAAATTTTTGGTGGCGCACTTATTTATGCGTGGTATGCATAAACTAAGTGGAGGAGAAATGTGAGCCCGATTTTTGGGATCACAGGTGCCCGAATCGAAGCGACGATCCTTGCCCGATCCTTACCCAATCCAAGGTCACGCGAAAAGTAACCAAAATGTTACTTTTCTTACTTCTCTTACTTCCGTTACTTATGTTATTTCTGTTACTTATGTGATAAATGAGATATCGACCTTTTATTAGATTTATTAAATATAATTAAGATATAAGGGATATTACATTTATGTTAGAAATTAATTACCAATGTAAACAAAACGTTTATTATAAATAAAGGGCCTTCTTGCCTTGGGGAAAAGGGGAGAATCGTCCCATATACCAATAAATTCCCTAATATCACTAAATATCCGATCTCTAATAAAAGTATAAGTGTTACCCTAGACAAACTAATAAACTATCGTTAATCCCATCCCTAACATAATCGTTCGTTCATAAACCACTAAACTCGCCTTTGGACGTTCGCCGCAAGTCACGTGACCAAGCCGTTAACGCAAGAGAACTCAAACCCGATTCGACGTATCGTAACCCCAGGATAAAGAAGTAAAGAGAGGACAATAGAAGGCAAGGGTTAATAGAAGAACAGGTTGAAGAAAAGACTTAGAAGAATAGTACTTACCTACGGATAAACCACCCAGCCAAATCTAACACGCCTATCTCGACTTAGCCGCCGTAGGTTACGCGAGAATTGGATTAGAGTAGCAACCGAATCGCCGAGTCTCGAATCACAATAGTGAGTAAAAGTTAGTAGTATATTAGATATTATTTTATTTTAAAGACTGTCTTAATGTGTAAAAAATATTTAATTACTGTTAAGCAAATAAAATTTATATAATATAATTAAATTTAAAAGAATGACATAATTCTATTGAAAAATTAGATAAAAATTATAATTGATAAATTGAAAACATATATATTTGAATTAAGATGATATTTAGTACAAGGTAAACATTTTATTTATGAAAATGTTAATAATTAGCATAGTTAATATAATGTAGGTTTGCAAGTACATAATTAATAAAGGAATTTACAAATAAATGACCAAAACCAAAAATAATTATAAATAAGTGTCTAAAATGAAAATAATTACAAATAGAAGCTCGATATTTGAAAATTATTACAAATAAGGGCACAAATATATCATTTCTAGCCAATTTAATCATAACGGCATCATGATAAATTGTTTTATTTCGTGATTAAATAGGTGTTTTAGAGTTATCGTTCATTATTTAGAATTACAATCAGACCTATCTATAGTCACTTACTCTATAATCTCATTTGTTTATAAACTCATATAATGCATATAAAATTTAACCTTTATATAAGCACAAAAATCTTGAAACCAAGGATGTGATTATAGAGAGTTTGACCGTAAAAAAAAACCCCTCCGAAAAAAAGTTCTGACTGACAGAATTTTTGAAATACATGTGATACAAAATGAAAAATTAGCTTTGTGTGGCCTAACGTGTTTACTTCTCTAAGCTACCATGTGTGATATCTCAGTTCCACTTTTAGAACTAGCGTGATTTTTAATATCACAAGATTGAACTCGTACATTGAATGTATCCAAAAAAGTTGACAAGTTGGATCATCTTAATGCTTGATAACTGAAATAGTAAAAGTGCATGAACTGATTTCATTTGTAAAACAAACAGTAACAGCTTACTTGGTTTGTTCTTTTTAACTCAGAATAACAGTTTGCTTGGTTTGTTCAGTTTTAACTTAGAATTCAACAGAATAACTGCCAAGGCCGAATGAAAATTTTCCAAGTTTATAAAAGTCATACTGATCTGTAACTTTATAACTAACATTTATGAACAGTTTTTAAAAAATATACATAAGAATTTCAATGAAATAAATTTACAGCGTGAATAATGGGTTGACGAATCGAATGTGCCTTTTTTATTGTGTATTGAATTTATATTCGAATTACTAATTGATTATGATCACATTTCTTATAAATTAACAATCAATGATTATATTACGATTAGAGATGGGCAAATTGCGGTTTTCTCAAAAAATCCCGCGCGTGACGCACGGGATTCATTAAATCTAGGTGCCGCGGTTGAACCTCGATTTTGATTGGCCAACGGCTGTGATCGACAAAATTTTGGCCGCATTACACATAATTTTCCCGAGTTTAATTTTTTAATTGTTTAAGGTTTGGGTCTGTGTAATGGAAAATTAACCCAGGAACATATTTCACTTAGGGTTGAAAATTACATTTTACAAATTTACAATACATGTATTTCACATAAGTTTTAGTAATATGGATTTATGTAATTTCACAGGATATATAGTACCTAGATATGGGCAAATGCGGTTTCTCCAAAAATCCCGCGCAGGGTTCATTAAACCACAAATTTTTAAACCTTAATTTCACTTAATGTGCGGCCACGATTTCTTTACTAGAAATTCGAGTAATTTTGTCTAAATTTTTAGTCGTTGCCGTTGGTCAATCAAAATAGTGAATTTCACGTATTTTTTGCAAAGTTTAATAGCAGTAATTTCATTAAGCATGTCCTTGGTTAAAGGTTTCATCTGATCCAATTTTTGTAAGATGATTCCAAATATTATTATTACTACGCATGTTATTTATTTTTAAAAGAGTGACTTAATCATAAAGAATATTTTTGTAATGTAAGTAAAAGATACCAACGGCAAAGAATGTAAATTCTTATCGTATATATAAATAAACATACATGTGAAATGGTATACAAATAAATAAATAAATCTTAATTAGGAATTATCAAATATGTTAATGCAGGTCAGATAATATATTAATGATAGTCAGATAATATGGTAATGCCAGCCAGATATTATGGTAATGCCGGCTAAATAATCTATTTCGGGATCATATTAAAAATCCCGCGCGTGCCCATCTCTAATTACGATCATATTCAAACTATCGAAACGGGCTAAATCATAGGTTTCTAAGCGTATAATTATTTTGGGCCCTTCTTGTAATAATTTTCAAATATTAGGCATCTATCTGTAATTATTTTAATTTTTGGGCCCTTATCTGTAAATTCATTCAATTAATAACTAATTAATATTATGAAGGTATCTGTTGATTTTGCCAATAGAATCTTTATTATCCTAATACATAAGAAGTCATAGCTTAAATTTTTTAGAATGTGTTGTGAGTTGTAAGCAAAAGAGTTATATTATAGTTGTAACTGTTATAGGTCATTACAATGTCTTTTAAATAAATAAACCATAATGGGTTTCATTTTTTAGGTAAATAAAAAAAGCGAAATTAGAAATGTTTCTAATCTAGTAGTGTTGTATTATCTGTGATATAAAGCTGTTGAATGTATATATTTAATTTTGAAGATACTAATTTTTCTATCTATTTTTGATTTTGAAGATATTAATCTTGACTATATGCTTAATTTTGATGATGTTAATTTTTCTGTCTATTTAATTTTGAAGATATTAATTTTGCTATATATATTTATTCTGAAGATATTAATTTTGCTATATATTAATTCCGAAGATATTAATTAATTTTGAGATTTTATATTCACAAAACTTATCAACGTAAAGTTAATTCTGTGACATCATGAAGCATTCATCCGAACTACTACTTAACCGATTTGTCTCGGAGATCACGGTACCGCCAAATTTTTGCGGCCGAATATAAAATGCCGGATTTCCGGCTCGATTTTTCATAGGACAATAAATTTCCGTCAATTATAATAACGATTTCCGACTGTGATTTCTAAGTTTCGGTTAGGAACAAACACGTCCGGAAAATTTATATTACATTACCCAGCAGCTTTGTGCGCTGCTATCCAACAATCTCGAAATAGTGAGGGTTTTTCGACCCCGCAAAGGCTAACACGTCATTTCCGACCTAAATCATATCGATAGTTGCACAAGGACGATTTTTGTGGCGCCATAGTAGATCTTTCAATGTAATTAATGCATGATCTTGAAACGTCTCATAGAAATTTTCGTTGAAAAAAATCTCTTCAGCAATACACTTTAAAAGCGTGTTCAAAAGGCTTGTCATTCCCAACAGTAATAGGAAAATCCTCTTGTCCATTATTGAATCTCCCCTTACGAATATTATTATATGAAATTTTGGAGTAATCGAATTACACGTTGTGCCAACGTCGTTTTATATTATTTAACATTCGAGTAAATAAGACATAAGCTATCAGAAGTTGATTCTTTGCGTTATTTTCCGTAAGGTGTTCTTTTAAACTTATCATCTTGCCATTAAGTTTTGCCAATATTAAATGGTAACACGTAAATTGATTTTTTTTAAGCCCCTAAAAGATAATTAAATATTATTTTTATATCTCACTATACACCCCTTATGACAACAATGGCCTGCAGTATTTTCATGTAGACATGGTAATGATGAAGTAGAAGAGAGGATTTCCATCTGATCATTATTAATGAGATCTTGAGTAGATAAATCATAATCGCTATCGATCTGCTGAGATAAATCATCCAACATCTCCCACAACCCATCAACATTAAACTCTATTATCTTATGAGGAGGCAATGGTGTAGTGGTTATCGGATTGGGACAACATTTTTTGTGACCACGTTTTTTGGGACCTCGTTTTTTGCAGGGAACAAAATAAGTGCATTCAACATTATGCTTTAAGCATTCACTGCATTTATCAAGTTGATCAAGATTTCCTATGTTTCCACATTTTTTTTTTTAAGCATTTACAAGAATCGCAAGCTACGGTTACGTTACACCTTGATGTTGAGAGACTATGCGATACTGAGGGCATTTTTGTGTTTTCACAATTAATTATTCGTAAATTGCAAAGATGATAGTTGATTAACTCTCGAATTTATAAACAAATCTCGGAGAATTAGGAATTAATTTTCCTCCAATAATATATTCTTGTGCTCATTAATCTATTCATTGAGTTTTTTTTATTAACTGGCGAATCTAAAATTTGATTGGCTGTTTTAGTAGAAAAACCAATTATATTTTAGATATAGGCGGAACAAATAATTCAACTTGATTGACTGTTTCGTGCCGATTCAAAGAAGCTAAGAATAGTAAATGAAAAATTCGAATCATTGTTACTAAGCATAGAAATTACTTAGAAAAGTTTACGCATATGTTAATTTATCAAAAAACTTTTTAACATTGACTAAAATTTTTTGATATTTTCTTTTTAAGAAATTATTATCCTACCGGTGAACACCGTATTTATGGAAATAATGGAAATTCATAAGCCGAGGTTATACAATTGACAATCTAATATGTAATATAAAGATTTTATTCCGGTACATATGTATGTGATTTATATTTCTTTTTATATTCCAGTATTCATTAATGTTTTATTCTATACGTCCTTGTTTATCATTAAGGAAAATTGGTCCGATTAAAATTCAATTACAAATTACCATAAGCTATTATTTTTTAGCTGCAAATTCAATAGTATAAAATTTTAACCTTATGATAACATAAATTATTGAAACTATAACAAAGCAAAATGTTATTTAATAGAGTAAATGAATAATAGTTTTCATGTGATAATGAAAATTTTTGCACGTACAGCCATTATATTTACGTATCTAAGAATATCTTGTAGCACTATTTTAGTAATTATGTATTTTTCAAATAATAACTGAACGGATCCAATGATCTACGCATGCGCATACATAGATTGATTATCAGTTACGTGCTGTAACCGTAATACAATAATACGTACGTACATACGTAATATCTATTACTAAATCAGGTACGTACGTACGTAACACAGTTTAGAAAATTTAAAGTGTTTTTGCTAGGTGCATTGTATATTGCCGAGAATCACGTTATTGCTATAAAAAAAATCAAAAGAATAGATCATAAATTTAGAATTCCGGAACTTTATTCCCTTTGATGGCACCAAATATAGACTGCGGTAATAAAAATCAATTTACCTAACAAATCTGTTCAACTTCTATTGATGACAAATCCTCAATCAAAACGTTGTGGACGTAAGGTTTAAAGAACATATAAATAATGTGCATCACGAAGCAGGCTAGAAATTTTACAAGGAAAGATAAAAGTTTTTTTTAAGCCACTTTTCTAAATTTCAGGAACTCGAAAATATATTAATTCTAGGCATGGTTTCACAATAAATAATAATAGTTTCAAGTCATATTCAAAAACAATCTAATAAAGTTCAATTTCATATTATGTCATCCAACAAATTAAATGCCATATCATAGGAGAAGTACGTCTGCTTACTAATAGTTTTATTTAATTTTAATCATTTATGTATTTTAAAGTACTTTTTTTGAATACATATAATAAAAGACACAATATAGAAAGTTTTATTGAAGTTATGTAAGTATGTATACATAAATTTACATATTACTTACATATTGACATGTTCTATTTTGTATAAATAGTGTGAGATCCGAAAACGTGACGGATATCACATGCCGTAAATCCCGAATGTCAGATATGTCAGATATGTCAGATATATTTGATATATCTGATATATCGCCTATATCGCATAAGTGTGATATATTAGATATATGCGATATATTAGACAAGTTCCTAATGTAAATAAGATAAGACAGTTTATTATAAATAAAGGGCAATTCGCCCAGGCTAAAAGACAGTGATGAGAATTGCGAAAAATAAACTACCTATCTGACCCCTAATAAAAGTGAAAGCGTTGTTCTATAAAAACCAGTAACTATCGTTAAATCCCAGTACTAACACTACCCCCCCAAGAACAACCAAACCCGTAATTGAGCGCTCGCCATAGTCACGTGCCCAGCAAACCGAAACGAAAGAGAAGAGCTCCAACCCCGATTCGACGTAGTGAAATCCCGGTTGAGACAATAGAAAAAGATAAAGAACTAGAACAAGAGTAGGTTGAAGGAAAGACTCAACAGAGAAGAGACCAGTACTTACCTACGGACGATAATCCACTCGCTAAATCTAACACGCCTGTTTCGGCTTAGCCGCCGTAGGTAACACGAGAGTTGGCTTAGTTTAGCGACAGACTCGCCGAAATCCGAGACGACAATAGGTGTTTCTATATAAAAAAGCATCATTTCTATTTAATTTTTGCTTAATTTTTCTAATTTGCATAACCAAGAATTAAACAGAATGGTGGTTTTTTTAGAAATTTTTTGTATATTTAGCACAAGTATCAAAAAAGTCTTTTCTATAGAAATTCAGAGCAATGTAAACTGAATCAAGAGCACAGCACGGTACGGCATAGAAAGAGAAATATCAAGAGCGCTGATACTAGATAATATAAACGCAAGAAATATCTGTGACAAATTTTCTTCTATATCCATTTGTCACTTAAAATGGATCCGAAAAAGACAGACCATAAAGGTGTGAAACTGGTGTCACACAAATTCGAAAGAGATTGATTATAACGCTAATATTGGGCAGAGCGGATAAATTATAATCTGTACGTGCGTGTTTAATCCAATTGTTCGTCACTTTGAGCAAAATCACTGATGCTTGCCCAATATTGTACGTACATACGTAGCTATATCCTTTTATGTGTTTGCGTTTGTATTACCAGCACACATAAGTATCTCCCTGTACCGACATTACTATCTTAACTCCATCCTTTTGATTGGATCATCTCCGTCATATACATCTTCTATATGCTATACAGTTATGACTTGTAAGTACAGTAGGCTCCAAAAGTATATCATTGTTACACAAAATCATAAAATATCACAAATTAAATAAATTAATGATAATAACATTAATAAAAAACAAATCAAATAAATATTTAAAAGTCTCAGTTTGTCTCGAATTTTTTAAAACAAAATAATACACAAAGTGGCATAAAATTACACAATACTTTTTTATAAATCATACAAATACAAAATATTGCTTTTATAGGAAAATCTTTGCCATCTTACTTTGCACAGAAATAGTGTCCGGAGCGAAGCGAAGGACAAATAACCGCATGACTCAATATCTATTTATCTGAAAATTTATTCAAGTTGTCATTAACTAATATTAAAAGTCAATGTTTGACAACGAAGACCGCTTCCGAAACTTACGAAACCTTAAAAAAAAAAAGGTTATTTGTCTGGTCTTCTCATATGATCAAATAATATTGATCAACAAATTATAAAAATCGACTATCTGTGATAATATAAAACAGGTACCGTTATTTATAAAATAAATATTTTGCACCGGATATCTAATGCTTTGCATTTATCTAGTGTTGGGTTCGGATAACTGCGACTATGTCGCTCCACAATTCAAAATGTCGTGTAACGTACGGTAGGTAACCTTTCGAAAGAGGGTGTTAGATTTGGCTGGTGGGTGATTAAGGCTTTCGGTTACTTTGGGTCAACGAATACAAGTAGGTAAGTCACGTGAACAAGAACTTGAACGAATAACGAAGTTTATGGGTTTATAACGGTACTAGTGTTAGTATTTTATTATAGACGTTATAATGTATTGGGACTTGTATTTAATAAAGCCAACAAAGCATACTGCTCCAAAGGGTCATTTCAACCTTTATTTATAATATTGAATTCGTTGCTCACAAATGCAACTTTACATTTATTATCTATTAAAACTAATTAAATCTATTTACAGTGATTTATGTGATATCTTTAAGGATGTGTAATTTGTCTTCACATCCTCTCCTTATTCCTTATCTACCTCTTTGGATCTGAAATACCTTTTCTGATCATAAATGTAACTTATTGCACTTATTGTATTTTATGCATTTTTTATGTAATCAGTTATGATATTCCAGTATCATACTAGTAAATAACACAAAATTCATTCAATGATTAAATGATTGGTTGGTGTTATCATCAAATTCAGAAGAGTATCAGGAATTGTTTACTATTTTTGTAGAATATGGATGGGTTAATTTCAGATTGTTTCCAAACTTCATTTTCTTGTTTCGGAAAGTCTATATATGATTTTTTAAAAATATTATTTAGTAATTGTAAAAAGTTGTGTTAAAATTGAGGTCAAGAAGTTGTAATAGATAGGTCTGTATTTTCTGGTCTTTTTCTTTTACTTTTGAGTTCTGTTTTTTTAATAGAAAATTCAGATCTGTCTCCTGCCATTTTGTAAATAATATGATAAAAGCTAGCTTTAAGGACCTTTTGTTTGAAAGTTTCAGGTTTGATTTCTTTACCAAAATAGAAAAAATATAGGTAGAATTTGAAAAAATTAAAAATTTTTCTTGAAAGTTCTGTTTGAAGTTGTGATTTGTTCTTTATATCATCAGAAATTAGAAAATTAGCAAGCTAGTCAAATGTTAGGTTGGTTTTAATTTTTAGTTGATTAGTAATAGTATTAGTTTGTATTGGCTGTTATTGTTGGTTATTTGTTTTTTGTTGTTGTTGCTATTATTGTTGTTGTTCTTTAGAGTAAGATAGGTTTTAATATAGTGGTTGCTGTTGTTGTTGGAATTGTTGTTGGTTATTATTATTAATAATATTGTTGTTCAGATCTATATTATTTGTAGTATTGTTGTTGTTGTTAGATGAGATTGTAAAGATAAGTTCAGATACAAGTGGATTGAGGAGTTAATTGTTTGTTAAAGTTTTTGAATAAATATAGAAGAAGAGCTTGATTGTTAAACAAATTGTTGTATATTAGTACAGACTTTATAGTAAGGTTTATTGTTATATAAAGTAGCATTAGTTACCAGGTAGTATTAGTTATTTATTTCTTTATACACAATAGATAGGTACATTTAGTGCAGAAGTGGTTATATATAATAAGTAAAGGTGATGCTATAGGTGATGATAAGAAAAATTCATTAGAGTT